TCTTCTTCAACAACTCCTTTGTTGCCTTGGCGGTATGTTTTGGGTCATTGTCATGCTGGAAGACCCATCCACGACCCATCTTCAGTGTTCTGGCAGAGGGAAGAAAGTTTTCATCCAAGATTTTACAACACGTGGCCCTGTCCATTGGCCCCTCAATGCGGCAAAGTCGGCCTGTACCCTTAGCAGAGTAACAGCCCCAAAGCATAATGTTTCCACCTCTGTGCTTGACTGTAGGGATGATGTTCTTAGGGTCATAGTCAGCATTTTTCTTCCTCCAAACACAGCAAGTGGAGTTAATGCCAAAGAGCTCAATTGTGATCTCATCTGACCACAGCACTTTCTCCCAATCCTTCTCTGAATCATTTAGACGTTCAAAGGCAAACTTCAGAAGGGCCTGTACATGTGCCTTCTTGAGGAGGTGGACCTTGCGGGCACTGCATGATTTCAATCCATGGCAGCGTATTGTGTTACCAATGGTTTGTTTGGTGACTGTGGTCCCAATTGCCTCGAGATCATTCACAAGTTTCTCCCATGTAGTTCTGGGCTGATCCCTCACTTTTCTCATGATCATCCTTACCCCATGAGGTGAAATGAGGTGTCTGGAGCATGGAGCTCCAGATCCATTTGCAAATAATCACTCCAACAATTGTCTCCTTCTCACCAAGCTTATTTCTGATGGTCTTGTAACCTATTCCAGCCTTGTGCAGGTCTACAATCTTGTCCCTGATGTCCTTAGACAGCTCTTTGGTCTTGCCCATGATGGTGAGGGAGAATGAGATTCTGTGGGCAGGTGTCTTTTATACACATAACAAGTTGTCATTGGTAGCACCTTCTTAAATTGACAGGACTAATATGTGTACCACATGAGCACATAGCCAGTCTGTGGGAGCCGGAATTATTGTTGGTTGGTAGGGGATCAAATACTTATTTTATTCACTGAACTACAACTCAATTTATAACTTTTGTATTGTGTGTTTTGTCTGGATTTTTGGTTGATTTTCTGTCGTTAACATTTAAAATACAGATATGATAAAAATTATAGACAATTTCTTTATAATTAAGCAAACTTAAAAAATCTGCAGGGGATCAAATAATCATTTTCCCCACTGTACCGCCTTATTCTCTTTTGTCAGTAATCTGCTGATCTATAAACGGTTTTCTGTACCTGCTTGTAATGCAGGAGAAGTAATCCCAAAAACACATTTATGTAGGAACCTACTTCTCTGTCCAATGCAGAGAGCATGATGCATCAAAGAGTTAGGATTCAGAAGTTTATTACTACAGACCTGTTTGGCGCTTTCTAATTTAGATGCAGAGAGCTCAGATTTAGGCAGCACAGTAAAAGTGTTTGATATCAATAGCAGTTCACTCTCTGATATTTGGTGTTGCTTAGAATAGCTCATTAAAGCCTAAATCAAGATACATGTTTGTTACTTCTGTTTTTGTCCCTGATGGGTGACTTCCACTCTCTGCCTGTGCAGTTTAACATAAGAGAGCCTTCCAGCTTTTTTTTCTACAGAAAGTAAAGTAAAATCTCCCAAATGAACAGACAGAAATAAAAGAGCTGTGAATGGGGTTGAACTAATCTTCTTCAGTTATATGGTTTGTGCAGTTACTAGACTTTGTCCAGGGCTTAAGGCTTTGAGGAGGACATCCTTGCACTCATGCTTGTAATACAAGGAATTAGGAAACAAATCTGTAGATCACATCTGCCTAGAGTTGCATAGCTTTAAAGTGATTGTAAAGCCTCCCCTTGTAAAACAACAGTTTAAAATAGAAATGAAAGGCAAACCATTTGTGTATAGATATAAAAAAAAAACATTATATATACCCTTTTTTCATTTTTCTATAAGTGATGACATACCATCTGTTCTCGGCTGCATAAGAGCTGGGGGAGGAGAAACAGCAGGACACTGGTCTTGCCAGTGAAAAACTGCAGTGGCAAAAGGGGTGTCAGCAAATGTCTGATCATTGGAGGACTGAGTTCCCAGCACAGCTAGAGAACTGACCATGCTGTGCTCTTCTGCTTAGCGTAGTCAGGTTTTTAATGGGAAAGCAGAGGGACTGGCAGGGCCACCAGGGATTTCATGCAAAGGAAGCAATGTAAAGAGAACAGGATACCTTTTCATACAAGTACATGGTTCTGGTGACACACATCAGGAATATGAAATGTTGGGTTTACATCTTCTTTAATTTTCTGTAGACTACTCTTTTTGCTACCTTTTTTTTACTTTTCTTTTTTTTTTTTTTTTTTTTTTTTAAGCCTTCAAGGACCAAAAATCGAAATAGCCATTTTTCCAATGTAGAACTTTGGGCCTGCAATGATTGGTCTTAGGGGACAGCACAATAAAATAGACCTGGCAGAACAGCAAAATTAACATATGGAAATTTGGCCCTGGAAAGAAGAGCACATTACACTGGGAGAAAAATATTTACACACACACACACACACACATGCACTGTCTAAATGTATGTGTGTGTGTATATATAAATTTCCCTTTCCCCTTTAATATACATTCACAGGAAGAGTAAGCATGCAAACAGTGAACTCATTCCACCCTGACAAGTTTCTCTGAGGTGATTGTGGGATGTGTTTGAGCTGTTCTAACAAGTTTCTTCTGCAATTAGCACTTACATGGAAAGTCCAAAAGGTACTCAGATATAATAAATAGCACCCAAGGTGCTAAACTGCAAAACTGTGTTAATTACAAAAGTCTATGAATGGACACTTTTCCAATAATATTTGAATGGAACATGCAACTAATTGGATTTTTTTAGGACCACTGCAATTAAAATATGAAGACTGTGATACAATACCTAAAAATGCTGTAGACTGAAATGTATATAACTCTGAGAATGATGCTCTCCACCTTAACCTAAGCAAGAGCAAATTCCTTAGAGCCTTGGACATGTGAAGCAGGGTCTTCCAGGTAGCTGAAAGTACTTCTCATTGCTTTCTCTGAGCCCTGGTATCCCCCAAAACAGGTGTGCTCTTAAATGCAAATACTGATTAGGAGAAGGAAGTTCTCATAACTAATAGTAAATCAGAAGAGGTGAAAGGGGACAGTACAGCCATTAACTTGCAGGTCAATATCTGTGTACTGGAGTACAGTTGGGGAAATTAAATTAAGCAGACTGTCACTTTTCTGGCAGTATGTCCCCTTTAATATGGCCTAATTCATGAAAGCCTTCAGTACGAGTACCACCTGGTGAATCAGATTCAGGAATTTCTTACTACCTTTACTTTTAGAATCTGTCACTATGGCTAAAGTTGGGAGAGGGGGCATTGTGTGTATTACTTTTTAAATATATTTGAATATGTTTTACTTTACAGTAGTTGCCAGAATGAAGGCCGCTCACATCCTAGCTATCAATAATGCAGGTCACACTGAACTGATAGATGCCTGATGTCTGTGATTGACAACAAATGGCAGTAGGCAGATTCCATAGACACTATTCAGTCCAATAGTGACTTTGAAATCCACTTATCAACATCTCCTGTCAGTTACAGGCAAGGCAGACCCAATGAGGAACTAATATCAGGAGTTCCCTATCAGGCTCCACCCACCCGACAACTGAAATTCATGGACACCACCAGGTGGGTGGTGCCTTATGGAGAACTCTGAGACTAGTTCCCCATCAGGTTCACTTGGCCTGTGACTGACAGTGCATGTCAGATTGAAAAGCTTCCATTTGACTGATTAGTGGCTGTTGATCAGCCCACTTCTATGTGCTGTCAATCAAACGTAAAGCAGACCTGATGGGGGGGACTACTCTCAGTTCCCTATTAGGCTCTGATCATTCCACTACAAAACCCCTCGGTCATGCACCTGGGGTGGTCAGGAGAACACTGAGGGAGATGTCCGGTGTGGACACTCCTTCCTCAGTGCTGGCATGGACAGATTCATGTACCTGTCTCTGACAGTTCCAATTGCCAGCAGTTTGACTGGCCACGCGCATCCTAGCACCCAACAATGCAAGTCACACTGAACTGATGGATGCCCTATGCCTGTGATTGACAACAGATGGCAATAGACAGATTCCATAGCCGCTATTCAGTGGAATCCACACACTAATATCTGCTGTCAGTCACAGGCAAGGCCGATCTGATTGGAAACCATTTCAGAGTTCTCCATCAGGCTTCACCCACCCGACAACTCAAATTCATGAATACTGCATCTGTGGAGTGTGATGGGGAACTCTGAGACGAGTTCCCCATCAGGTCCACCTGGCCTGCGACTGACACTGCACGGCAATGGGCAAATTCGAAAGCTGATTTCGAGCTGAATAGAAGCTATCAATCAAACTACTTCTGTGCTCAGCCAATCAAAAGTAAAACGGACCTGATGGGTAACTAGTTTCTCTGTTCCCATTGGGCTCTGCCCATTCCATTACAAATTTCCCCAGTCATGTGCCTGTCATTGTGAGAGTCACAGGGCAAAGGGGGAGGGTAGGAGTGCACTGAGGGTGAAGTGTCCAGTATGGACACTCCTAAGTGCTGGCATCAGTTTATTCATGTACCGGTCTCTGTCATGTAAATGGATTTGGGGCAGAAGCGCTGTCACTTTCAGTGCTGCCATCAGACAGAATTCTAAAGAATGAGTACGACATCCTTTAGAAATTCCCCAGAATGTGTTTTAGAGGTGCAGAGAGCCTCACAAAAATGAGGGTTTTTTTTAAGTAGCTCTCATTTTATTCCTCTTGCAAGGTAACAATTTAATAGAGTTCCTTTTTTAGCAAACCTAGTGGAAATCAAAATGGCCAATACCAAATAAAAAATGGGCGTGCAGGGAAGTGAAATGTCACTCCGCTCTTTCACAGAATTTAATGTGGGCAAATTGCTAGTCAGGGTTGTAAAGTTGCTGAAAAAAAATCCAGACCAGGCATCCAATTTATTTTTCATGTTCAGTGTGTGTCTCTCTCTCTCTCTCTCTCTCTCCTCTTTTTTACTTACAAGTTTTTGGTAATATTCATTTTATACTAACTGCAATATTTTATAGCTATGTCAAGACCTACCTTCTCCCAGACAAAGCTAGAATGGGCAAGCGGAAAACCTCCGTGAAAAGGAAGACCATCAACCCAGTTTACAATGAAGTATTAAGGGTAGGACTGTATATTGTATATAATGCTTTTCTATTTTGTGCAGGAAAGAGTATAGCTACATATTACTGTACTGCTAGTTTTAGTTAACCTCCTGATGTTATTCCTTGTTGGAATCGGGCTCTCAGACATCCACTGTCTAAACATCTTTATTTTTTGATTATCCTCTAACCTCGAAGCAAGCACATCACAGGACATGGTCCATTAGGCAGCTGTCTGCCCCTACTTCAAGAGATCTTGGGCAGCTACTAGGAAGGGGATACCTCTAATTATTCTGCTGTTTTGCTCCAGTCTCTCACAGAGAAGTAACCAGTGAATATTGTTTCCAGGAGTAAATATGAAGACAATTGAAGTTATTTTTTTTATTGTGACCTGCAAAAGAACATGACCTGGAATGTTGCTTGTTACTTTTCTGCAAATCTGCTGGTTTCCTGAATAAGTAAAGATGGAGCTGATGGTCAAGTGAACTGCAATGTGTTTAAAGGCTAGCTAGCTGATGACATACATATACTGCAGAGCTGTAATTACTATTTTTTTTCTTCCAAACAGTTCATCTATTCAAAAAATAAAAATCACATATCAGCATGTCTTCGTAGTCCATTGAGAACTACAAGTCCACCTGCCACTGTGTTTACTGTTAGAGCAGTAAGGATGTGGAACACCCATCCACAGTTGGTGGCGTCAGTAGGGAATATTGATCATTTAAATAAAAAACTATTAAATGGGCATCTTAGAGAACACAATATACAGAGATATTGGAAGTGGTAGAGACACATGCATACACGCCCCCTCATAGGTTGAACTGTATGGACTGGTGTCTTTATTCAACCTTGCCATCTATGTATGTAACTATGAATTAAATGACTGTGTGGGCTGAGTCCATTTGAAATGTGTTAGTGGCTGTGGGGGAGGGGATCCTCTACCTGCTGTCTCAAGGGAAGGGGATCAAGGGGAGAGGGGGGCAGGAGCTGGAACATCTAAAATGTTGTCCCCTAAATATGGGTGTAGTATGTAACCTATTCCTGAAGGTGAACCTATCCTTAAATTATTCTTGTGCATTGAACAATGCATGTGTATTGTAGCGATTTCATTCTGCATTCATAAATGGGAGCTATTGTCAGACTGGCACAGCTCCATCTTTTATAAATTCCAGAATGATGTACTCATCTTAGCTGATAAATCTTCTTTTTATAACATGAATATGTATTGTTTAGTTTCTATTAACAGACTCATTAATGCTTTCATTTATATTCTAGTACAAAATTGAAAAAATGGTTTTACTGATCCAGAAATTAAACCTGTCTGTGTGGCACAATGACCCGCTTGGCAGGAACAGCTTCCTTGGGGAACTGGAGATTGACCTCACCAGCTGGGATTGGAGTAACACAAAGCCCAACTGGTACATCTTAAAACCAAGGGTAAGTTGGTGGAGTATATTCCAAAGGAAAAAGCTAGGCTTTTTTGTTGTATTACCACAGATTTCATAAAACCTCAACACATACAATATATATGAAAAATGTAAGCAAGTTCACTTGATGAAAGGAATTCCTAGTGCAGTGGCTATTGCAAATTATATAAAAAAAGGAGGACTAAAGCACATTACTTACAAATTGTGTTGGCTTTTTCTATTTTTCCTGCCTGACCTTGCTACTTTAAGACACTTACAACCCAAATGGGAAAAGTAAAGGGACTGTTAAAGGAGAAATAGGGCCAAAGCTCTTTTGACGCTACTTCTCCTATGGATCACAAAAGTGCATTCGTTCGTTCTGCATTCCTGTGACCCATATTCAGCCAACAGTGGGCTAAAGTCACTGAGCCGATCCAGACTTTGGGTGGACCCTGAATTTAAGTTCAAGATCTCACCAGATGCCAGGACTGGCAGATGGCTCAGCCTCTCAATGAGCCACTAAAAGCCTGCACCAACAGCTTCCACCCCCTCCACAGCCTTGCACTCCAGTGAGCACTGGAGGAACAGAGCAGACAGCCGGTGACTGACAGTCACCAGCTCTCTGCTCACTGAAGACCAAGAACTAAGCTATCAGCAGGCTTTGATCACTTGGTTCTCAGTCTTAGAGGCATTTGGGGACAGATGCAGCATCGGAAGGATGCTGCATCCACCTAGGTGAATATGTACGTTTGGGATTTTTTAATCTCAAACTTCTCTTTTAAGGGCAGTTTTGAGCTTTTCTGCCGTTCATATTACATTTTTTTCTCTCTCTGCTGACTCCTCAGTGGTGGACCTGCATATAAAGTAGATAGCATGCTACCACCAACAGGCTGGGGAGATAACAAATACAGTCTGTAAAAGGAGTATTGTCATCATTCCTTTACTTGAATAAGAGCAAGCATGCAGACAATTATATTCACAGGTAGGAGAACTGCTATGGCTGTTTTCATGTTGCACCTACTTGTGCTTAATGTCCAATTCTAGCAATTTGTTTCGATTTCATTTTGGACAGATTGGGGAAGGATTCTAATCTCTCTTAGATTTTTTTGCCGCCTCTGCCCCTCTAGGGGAAATTTCCCTTGCATCAAACAACTTTTTGTGAAGGCTTTTATTGACCTGTCAGTTCCAGTCTAGGTAAAACCATCATATGACTGCAGGGCACAGCATTAATAATAATTTAACAAGCTTCAGTAGGCATGTTTAATGTATTAAGCATATCGTAGATTGCCAGAGAATATTTGGCTCAGATGTGTAGATACATACGTGTAAAGTAAATACCTATTAAGCATTCCAAATGGTTGTTAAAATAATGCCTGCATACTGGTGTTTAGAGTTTATAAAAATTCCTGTGAGCTAAGTGTATTTATAACTTATGCCACAAGCTCGGCTGCATACTTTGTCTGCATTCATCTCAGAACAGAAGTGTAGGAGAACTTTACAAAAGATGTAAATTAATTGAAGCAAAAAAAAAGTGTGTGTATGTGTGCATATACAGTGTGTGTATATATATATATATATATATATATATATATATATATATATTGTACTTTTCAAGTGTTCTTCTTCTGTAAGCATTTGCTATAAAAACACAGTACTGCTTGGACTTTGAAGAAGGGGATATACCCCGAAAGCTTGTCCTCAAAATTGTATGTTAGTGCAAATAAAAAAAGTATCACGGAGAGTACTCAATTGTTTCTATAAAAACACAGGAATGAAGCTTGTGGCATAACTTGATCTAGGATGCCCTCTAGTGTATAGCTATTGAAACAGCAGGAACACACAAGACCAATTGTGCCATTCAAAAACAAAAACTATTAATAAATAACATTTATTTTTTTTTATTATAAGTACTTCTATAGCACCGTCAATTTACGCAGTGCTTTACATATATATTGTATATTTACATCAGTCCTTAACCCTCAAGGAGAATACAATCTAAGGTCCCTAACTTACATTCATACATACACATACGAGGGCCAATTTAGACAGGATCCAATTAACCTACCAGCATGTCTTTGGAGTGTAGGAGGAAACTGGAGTACCTAGAGGAAACCCGTGCAGGCACAGGGAGAACATGCAAACTCCAGGGAGGTGGTGCCGTGGTTGGGATTCGAAACCAACGACCCTAATACTGCCAGGAGGAAATGCTAACCATTTAGTCACTGTGCTGCCCAATAATATAGTTAATAAATAACAAGATATAAGAACACAACTGAGTCTATTTATACAGACATGTTGTCATTGGTAAACATTTGCTGATATCATTAATAAATAATTTTGAGCAATTCTGCTGTGTTATATGATGAACTATTTGTATGTTTCTTTTTTTTACCCATCAGAGTCTCTCTGCAATGAATGGGGTGGACCATCTTGGAGTGATGAACTTGTCAATTAGATACATCCCTCCTGGAAGTCTTGGTGAGATATGTCCTGTGTGACAAGAATATTTAACAAGATGTACATGTGCTTAACACCTCCACACCTCATTTCCTGGAGAGATGTGGGCTTGGTCTGGGAAAGCTGCCATAGTTCTGAACATTGCAGACCTGCTTGCTGATAAATATGCTAATATATAGTAGACAGCATAAGATGAATTTCTTTGGAGTGTTTTTTTTTGTAGAGTGTGCTTATGGAAATGGGATGTAATAACATCTATTTACAGCACCACTCTGCATGTTAATCAGATATTGAAAAGTTCATTAAGTGAACTGTGACCTATTTGTGTGAAATCACATATCCGCTGGCAGTTTATCTTTGTAGATGGGATGTTGTCTGAAGAGTTCAAAGAAGAAAGCATAGCCAATTAGTTCAAGCCAATTTCATCATTTTGTTGAGTTAATACTAACTAGAACCACATCCCATAAAGAACTATAGTCATAAAAAGAACTAAACATTGGGATTTTAAATGTGCATTAATCTTAATAATAGCCCATCTTTGTCATAAGTCTTCACAATTTTTATTTAGTATAACATGTTTAAAATATAAAACAATACCATCCAGCTACGCGGTATTACGTTTGTACATCAAGATATATAACATTGCCTCTGTGTACCAGCTCCCACACATTACAGAAACTTGCTTAATTTAATATGACACAACCACCTCATACATAGGTCATATACTGAGAGTGGTTCCGTGCAACGCGTTTTGCGATTATGCCGCTTCAGGAATCCAGAATATTAATATATGAGGGGTGTTCAAGTCAAACCGGGACTTTTGAATTTCTATAAAAAAAAAAGAACAAATTTCAAAGAGTGGAAACTGCATTTATTTTTCGACATACACCCCTGCTACATTTATACACTTTAAAGAACAATTAGATAATGTGCTACACTTTCAATTGGCTTTTAAAGATGTCCTGTACGAAGAGAACTATAAATGCTGTCATGTAAGAAGAAATGAGGGGGAGGGGGTGTGATCAGCGCAAGCACTGCTAAAAGTCCTGGGTAATCCTGGTATTGGGTATTGGTGGTAGTTATGGCTGTATGAGGAGGATGAGCATGGAGTAGGGGGATCCGTGCAGCACTGAGGGCAAGGCTTCCAAATAGACTGTAGCAGACTCTGTAGGATGAGAGAAGAAGAGACGCGCCTCTAAGTGCAGTATATCACTGTATTCAGGTATATAGGTAGGAACACTCACATAAATAAAGGTAAGTATAAAGCATAAAAACCATGGCTGGTGTAACCATCGGTAGGTGGGTATCCAGGGTGAGAGCGGTCATCTGTGTGGGGAGAAGTTGGCGTGCCGCTGGAGCAGCGTGGTGGCTGGAGGGGAACAGCTGTGAGGCCAGCCAGCGTGCATGTCCTCCCTCAGTGCTGGGTGGAACGCACACTGGACCGCAGTGGCGGCGTGGCTGTGATGACGTCAGATACCCAAGGTGCACTGCGACACGTTTTGGAGCATGCGCTGGCCGGGAAACGCGGAAGTGCACTCCTTTATCAAGCAGCTTGATTATTGAGTGCACTTTCACCTTTCCCACCCAGCGCATGGTCCAAAACGCGTCGCAGTGCACCTTTGGTATCTGACGTCATCACGGCCACGCTGTCGCGGTCCAGCGTGCATTCCACCCGGCTCTGAGGGAGGATGTGCATGCCGGCCGGCCTCACAGCTGTTCCCCTCCAGCCACCACGCTGCTCCAGCGGCACGCCAACTTCTCCCCACACAGATGACAGCTCTTTCCCTGGATACCCACCTACTGATGGTTACACCAACCACGGTTTTTATGCTAATACTTACCTTATTTATGTGAGTGTTCCTACCTATATACCTGAATAAAGTGATATACTGCACTTAGAGGCGCTTCTCTCCTTCTCTTATCCTATAAATGCTGTCATGGCTGACCTTCCTTTGAAAATGCTAGTTGTCTGGCTGACTTTGGCTTCAGTAGATTCTAAGCCACCGAGCTGAAACAAATTTGCAACAAATAATGTCAAAGTAAAGTATAAAAAAAATCCTGATCAGCATCTGTTACAAGTCAAATACATAGAATGTATTTTAGCAGCATGATGCCAGGGAACTAACATTTTCAGGAAATGGTCAGCAATGTTTGATATGGCTTAACAGCCCATATTATGTTTCCTCCTGCCAATAGTCTACCTCACGGGTGTCAAACTGACACCCCTCCAGCTGTTGCCAAACTACAAGTCCCATGAGGCATTGCAAGATTGACAGTTACAAGCATGACTCCCAAAGGCAGAGGCATGATGGGACTTGTAGTTTCGCAACAGCATGAAGGCTGCCAGTTTGACACCCCTGGTCTACCTGTATAAAACTCCATTTGAGTTTAATTACCATGGTGCAAGACATAATGGTGATTATCAATCCATGACAAGCAGTCAGGCATCCACCTTTAGGAGTTAATAACTCAGTCGAACGTTAAAGAAAAATTCCAGAATTTTTGTTTTCCCATGCAGTGATGATGTGTACGCAATGCATTTTTGTCTAGGGGTGAAGAGAGCAGAGATATACTTAATCCGCTGATCCTCCAAGCACAAGACCGGTCCCTGCCCCTCCTGCCCAGCCATGGTCTAGCGGTCTTCTGCGGTGGACTGTGCCTAATGTTGTCATTCCCATAGACCAGATTTGGACGCAAGGACGGCAGAAACAGTCCACTGCTGGACCTGAGGGGGACACCGTTTTCCGGAGTGTAGCCTTTCTATGCACTACTGGACAAAACAAGCAGTTGATCTATGCAGTGCAGGCACATTCCGACTACACTGGAAAAAAAATTCCTGGAGTTCTGTTTTAAACAACTTCTATTTGCATTATTTTAATCCTAATTATCTTTATTGCTACAAAGTGTTGATCACAGCAATTTCAGAAGGTTCAAAGACAGAGAAATGCCTTACTCTGTCATTTTGACTAATCTCATATCTTTGAGGAACTCCTGCTTAGGGAACAGTTGATGGGATAGTTTTTCTAACCTGCTGTGATCACTGAACCCCCTCCTTCCCATTGTCTCCCATTTTCTCCCCCCTGCACTCTACAATTACAGATGGTTCATGAATTTCCAGCCAAGGGAGGCCACCACCCAAGGAAGTATGAGCATTCTGCCTTAGAACTACAAACTGTCTTCATAGAGTTATGTACTCAGAACTACGATCAAACCTGACACTGAAGAAGAAGTTGTAACTTTATTACTGCTGGCTAAAGTATAATATTCCAAGACATGCAGGTCCTCAACAATTTTTTGTGGTACTGTCCTATCATTAGAAATGGTAAACAGTTTTGCATTTCCACATCAAAAATGTCAAGTACATTTGTACACCTGGTTTACATATCACAACAGTAGTGCAATACGGAGGTTTATAACTAAACAGTAAAGTCAAGACTAATCTGTTGAACCCTTGAGGGATACCTTTTCAAGCTGTTTGGTGTCTGTTTGCTTAGGTGGCTTTTGTGAACATTAGCAGACATTTTTCAATTCATAAGACATCTTTTCCTCAATCCTTAGGTCCAAAACACCCATCCTCAGGAGAAGTCCATATCTGGGTGAAAGATACTAAAGATTTACCTCAACTTCGTCCTTCTGGGGTAGATTCCTTTGTTAAATGGTAAGTCATTTTTGTAAACAAAACATCTTAATCTCCCATAGGTGGAAACATGCAAATTTAAAGTTCATCAAAACTTTTTTTTTTGTAGTTTTGAATAGAGTAGCAATGGGTGAAAAACTCTAAAAGTTTTTCCTTATCGGAGTCATTTCTGGGAAGATTCACCCTCGATTTGTCCATGTGGCCATGGTTACTGGAAATGAGGGAACATCCAAAATGTTGAGTTATTAGGAGGGGAATAGAAGAGAGATCTTTTGATGAAAACACTTCTTAAGGTGATAAATGTCTAAGAAGGAATTTTGCTCACTTTGTAGAAACTCCTCTCCTACTCTAAGGGGAGGACATTAAGGGATTTTCCCGCAGCAGGACACAAGATGACAAAGGGACAGGGGGTTTTATCCATTTATGTTGATGACACTAAGCGAGTACTGCAAGGCCTTTACAGGCAACAGATTTTCTCTATAGAATAGTCAGGCTTACTTAATAAGCAGTAAAAGTGTGACAACACATAGCAACCAATCAGAATTTACACAATCATAACAGTAAAAATAGGATTTTTTGACTTGCCATAAAATCCTTTTCTCTGAGTCAATTGAGTGACACACCTTGACAGATATAAGAAACCTAGGATTATACCGTCATCTACAGGAGAAATGGGCACTAGGCATATAAAAAGCTGAGGAATGTATGGGATGAATCTGCGCAATGGTAGTGGACTGCTGCTAACACCTACCCACACCCTAATTAGAATGTGTAAAATCAATAAAATGAAATAAAGGTGTTGCGGTGCTCCTACTTATAAAGTGATGTGTAAGTTGTTGGTGAGCGCTGTGACACAACTCCCTCACTCATAAGTGATTCATATGTGCTTGCAGTGCTCCTGGTGTAAATAATATGGTTCCTATCTCCCATATGAGATACCAATATGTGCTACAAAACACCTTCCCCCGTATTCCTATAAATAATATGTGGCATAATACAAAACTGTTACAAAAGTGAATGTGCTGAGCGGGTGCTATAAAGCACCCCCCCCCCCTCCGAGTGAAACAATGACTGTATGTCAAAAATTTAGCTGGTACTATAGGGCAGTGTTTCTCAACATTTTCTTAATCAAGGCACCCTTTAAAATTATGGACAGTCCAGAGGCACCCTTTAAAATTATGGACAGTCTTGAGGCACCCCATTCTAAAATAGGGTGCCTCAAGACTGTCCATAATTTTAAAAGGGCACCACATTCTAAAATGTGAAAAATTATTCTAATAGTTTTATACAACACAGCAACATCCAGACGTGTAGGACACCCATCACTAGAGGTGATGTATTCTTCCAAAGCAAGTACACTTTTGCACACAGGTACTGACTAGTATTCCGGTGTTTCTCTTCTCCTTCAGTTTTTCTCCATCACTGAGCTAATGTGACCCCAGCACTGATGGAGAGGGGCAGGGGAGGGTCAAACTAGGATGCTGTGCAGGCAGCTGACATTCTCCTTAACTTATGATGTCATTGGTTGTCAGGATGCCGGCGGCTAGAAGGTCGTAATGTGTACAATGAAAATCTGTGACTTTGTGTAACGAAAAGGCAGGCTTGTCCACCCGCTGGCTTGTATACACGTTTTGGGCAATTTTCAGAGATTTTGCCAACCCCTGGAAACCTCAAGGCACCCCAGGGTGCCTGGGTACCCTGGTTGAGAAAGGCTGTTATAGTGCACCTCCCCCTTACAACTTATAACATGCATATAATAGAATGATAATGCTTGAATCCGAATAAGCAGTACAGTGATACACTAATCAGTGACTATGACAAACAAAGTATGTGTATATAAAAAATGACCCTGAGCTGGGCAAGGTGGTCAAGAAAAGATTCATTCTCTCCCAAAAGCTATACTTTGAGTTTGCTATTAAAAGCAGGAAGTTTCTAGCTAGAGTTCTCCGTGAAAAACGATCAAATATGACTATACATAAAATAAGAGGTCCCGACGGTACGGTGACCACGTCCAACCCCAATATTGCCTCTCATTTTGAACATTTCTATAAATCCTTATACAATCTTCCGCCGGAACGCCCCCCGCTGCGCACCGACAGGTCTAGAGCCTCCTTGATCTCTGAATTCCTCCATCTCCACGGTCCGAACGCTCTCCCTGAGGAGACGGTTCTCTCGCTGGAACAAGATTTGACCTTGAGCGAGCTGCAGTATGCAGTACAACAGATGAAACCTGGCAAAAGTCCGGGTCCTGACGGCTTCTCGGCAGCTTATTATAAATCCTTTCTAGACATCCTGGGTACTCCATTTCTTTCTCTGCTTTTAGTACTCTCTCAGTCCCCCAGGCCTTATCATAGGCTTTTAGAAGCACATATTTCAGTTATCCCCAAAAGCGATAAAGACAATACTCTGGTTTCCAATTACAGACCCATTTCCCTGCTGAATGTGGATATTAAGTTGTTTGCGAAGATACTTGCTAACTGACTTCATCCTTTGCTCCCCTCCCTGATTAACTTGGATCAGGTGAGATTTATCCCTGGCAGAGAAGCTAGGGATAACACTATTTAGGCCCTTAATCTCCACCACTGGCTTTGTAAATCTAACCTTCCCGGTTTCTTCCTTTCTTTGGATGCAGAAAAAGCCTTTGACAGGATTGCATGGGACTACTTGCAGGGATCTTTGATGGCATTAGGTCTGGGTGAGAAGATGCTGAACTTTATAATGACCCTATACTCGGGCCCTACAGCCCGAGTACGGGTTAATGGACATTTGTCAAACTCTTTCCGCCTCGGAAATGGAACTCGTCAGGGATGCCCCCCTTTCCCCGCTCTTGTTTGTCATTTCCCTTGAGCCTCTTCTGAGAAAAATTCACGCTAACCCAGATATTAAGGGGATCAAGGTGGCAGACAAAGAATATAAGCTCGCTGCTTATGCAGACGATATTCTCCTATTTTTGGCTGATCCTCGCACCACTCTGCCAAATTTGCTGAAAGACTTTGCTTTTTTCCGCTTCCTGTCGAATCTCAAAATCAATTTTTCCAAGTCATTCACCCTTAACATAACCCTTCCCACTGATCTAGTTTCTTTCTGTGAGTCCCATTTCCCATTTCAGTGGGAAAGAGAAGCCCTTCCCTATCTTGGTATACAGGTTACCCGTAATATGGACAACCTTTATGCCAAAAATTTCCTTCCGGCTCTTCGAGCCATACAAGAAGATCTAAACAAGTGGCACCGCCCTTGCTTCTTATGGTTTGGAAGGGCTGTAATAATTAAAATGAACATACTTCCGCACCTTCTCTATCTCTTTCAAACTTTGCCAATTCAGTTGCCTCTGGCATTTTTTGCCTCCTGTAAGAAAATATGTTCACTATTCTTATGGAACCACAAGCGTCCGCGTGTTTCGCTTTCTCAACTCACCCGTCCTAAACTTAGAGGGGGAATTGGGCTCCCTGACCTACACCGCTACTACTGGGCGTGTCATCTTTCCCGCATAGTCGACTGGCACATCCATACTGCCTCCAAAGATTGGGTCTATTTAGAAAATGCCTTCTCACCCTCACATCGATCCCTTGGCTATTGCCGAAGCACACGCCTCCAGTTCTCCTTTCCCACCCTCGGCTTGTAAATCGGCGTCCATCTCGGACTCGCCTAATCCCTTGACTTCCATTCGCCATAATCCAGATTTTCCCCCGGGTTTGCACAAGGAATTTTTATCTAAACACTGGCCGTATGACCAGATTCTAGTGAAACATTTCCTTCACAAAAGGTAAGGTGAAATCATTGCAGGAGCTACCGGTTAGCCTGAATATCCGCGATTTCCCCTTCTGGGCCTATTTTCAAATTAGACTTTTTCTTGCTTTTACATAAATCCCGCCATAATTGGGCTCGCTCTCTTACTCAGTTTGAATCTTTATGCTCTAAAGTCGAGCCACGGACACACTTGATCTCAGAGATTTACCCTCTCCTAGGGGAGAGCAGGACTTTCAATTCCTTTCCCTCCTGCCGTGCGTGGAACAGAGATCCAGAGACGGATTTATCGGACTCGGACCGCATATTTATGTACTCCCATAAATGCTCTAGTAACGTTTCGACGCAGGATAACTGCTACAAATTGGGTTCTAGATGGTATCATACTCCCTCCAGAATTCATTGTTTCAACATGTGCTGGAGATGTGGGGCACTAGATGGATCATTTCTCCACATTTGGTGGTCTTGTCCACTTATTCAACCATTCTTGCAGGAGGTCCATCAGCTGGTGGTGTCAGTGACCACTTTGCCTATAGTTCTCTCTCCAGCTCAGCTCTTGGTCCACCATACCCCTTTCCTAAGAGTCAGTATTTCAAGTCCCTAGCTATGCATATGATCAACGCAGCCAGACTCTGTCTCCCCGTTCTATGGGGCTCCACCCACCCCCCCTCCATACGCGATTGGCTCACTCGTGTGGGCAAAATGGCAGAAATGGAAGAACTGATTGCGCTGGCACTTAATATGCCAACCAAATACTCTCATGTTTGGGCCTGCTGAACCCATTTTGTAACCACTCCTACATACCGATCCCTCATGGGAAGGACACCTGATTTAACTCAGCCCCACTGCTGGTTATACTCCTTTTCCTTTCATGGACTGGATGGCAACGACCTTTCCTCGGTGCTTTATACCTGACTGCCTGACACTGGTGATAGTCTAGAATTTTGGCCCATCCATTTATGACTTATATGGATGATGACACAAAATCCACAGCTCCCGCCTCCTATTCCTCACCCCCTCCCACTGTTCCCCTTTCTCCTCTCTCTCCCCCCTCCTCTTTTTTTTTTTTTTTTTGCAATTTCCTGACTCCCATCTTTTTCTTTCTTCTCTTTTCTTCCTTCTTTGACAGGCTCCTATACATATCTGTTTTAGTCACTCTTTACGGGAATACTTGGATATGTGGATAGCTTACCCCCTTTATGTTTGTCAGCGGTACTCACGACAATCAATACTTACACTACGATCTCTTTATCGTTTCACGATTGTGTACTGACTTTGGTGTAGGCTCCGAATATATCCTTCCTCCCTGTACAGATTAGCACATCGACACATATTTGATGGAGGTATGCCACTATAATCCTCTATATTGCATAATAATGACACCTGAGTATTACAGGCCTACCTTTGTCGCGACCCGACGTGTTTAATTTACCCACAGTGATGCATTCCACCTTGTTTTTTCCTGTATCTTGTTCTATGCTTTGTCCACTACCTGATTGTTGACTTGTGTGCATTTTTCTTGTATCCCGATGTTTCTTATCAATAAACTTTTATTGAATAAACAAAAAAAAAAAAAAAAAGACCAAAAAGGTCAAAAACAAATATAGTCCAAATACACTTACTGTGCTTCACTACACTCCAATATGCTGTGGGTGATGAGAAACAACCAGTGCCTCCACACGTGCTCTTCCTGTCTCACCACACTCACCGCAATGTTTGACCACTGTTTCCAGTGGGTCCAGCATGCTTTGTAATGCTCTCCACTCCACTGCATAAAGGACTCTGTGTGGCTGTATCCCTCCGATGTCAGACGCAACTATCCTCCATTCAGTCCCTCAGACGGTTCTCTCTGCTGTACACAGACCTCTGGGCAGCAAAACTACGTGAGAGTTCAGCTGAAGGCCAAGCCACGTCACATCTGATCAGTTGTCCCTCAATTGACTCACAGAAAAGGACTTTACAATGAGTTACAAACATCATATTTGCTCATCTACCTAGAGATTTTGACTAGTCAGACAAAATTAGAGAAATTAGTATGGAGACAAGCATAGGTTAAGGGGTAGAGCCCGCATGGATTACATGTATAGTAAGAATTTTGGCAGGTGAGACACAGGTGGGTCAACTAAAGGAGGTGTAGATCATCGCTTATTCTTCTGTAAATGGAGAGAGTGCTGGGAGCTGCATAGGGGTTGATGAAGAAACACTTAGGTAGAGCAATTAAGTATTTGAGAACCAAGTACAGACACCATGCTAGGTCAATAAATGATAGAATATTCATTTTTTTTGAGAAAAATTAACTGCCCCAATTAATATTTGCTTTCTAGAGGGTCACTGAGAAATTTTAGACACATTAGGCTTTCTGCATAGGCACAATCTTTCTCTGTGCTAAACTCCAGCAGGTTCATTGTGCAAATTGGGTGCTGATGCCTGCAGTTTCAGGGCAACTGCTATTATGTTTGGTACCATATTACTAATGAACAGTCCAAAAAAGGCTACTGAAACTGTCCCCCCAAGAATGCTTACAGACTAGCCAAGCTGAAATGCAAAGGCAATGAGAATGTCACTGTGGGTAGAATGCTAGATGCATGGGTACTCTGTGTGCTGCCAAATGCTTTGTCCCAGAAAAGAGGCGGTCTAAAGAGCTTGAAGAACTGAACTCATTGGTACAGTTACCCGAGGCATCTTTCACAGGGCATATGCGATTCTTGTTGCCACTGGCATATCCCAAATCTATTAGATGGTCTACCTAATGGAGCACCCACTGCTTCAAAGTGAGCAAAAAATAAGTAAAAAGTGAGCAAAATTAGTGATTAGATCTTGCAACCTACAGGTCACATAGATGCTTCTAGGTAGCAGATTAGCTTAGCTGAGCCTCCTACCTGGCTGATAAAATCAGAGGAAAAAATGCCTCAAAACCGCATATAGTCTGCTAGCCACTCACAGGAGAGTGTTCAGAGACTAGGACACGGGAAACTGCCACAGCTCTGGTCCTGATAATGTAGATACAGTGGCCTGACCTGAAAAGCAGTCTTGTGCTAACTGGAACACAGACTGGTTGTCATGGTTGACTGCAGGACCATTGCCAAGTGAACATCAATATACTTAACTGGGAAAACCTGTGCTCATTGGCTAACTGGCAGAGACGTCCAGGATTTCTAATATCTGGCCAAGGTGTGAGGAGTCATAGCCCCTTGGGGGCTGGCATCAAGTTTTATATGTGCCTATTGCCCCTTTTTCCTGGAGGTGGTAGTATAACCTCAGGTTTTCTGTGGGTACTATACTTTTCAGTGTATGCCTTGCATTTTTAAATCAAAATGATTAGTTCTCAAACCTAAATACTGCATAGGTGTGGAATTGGTTTATTTTCATAAGAAATAGATGTATAATCAATGAAAGCGTTCAGGTTTCATAAATCTCAACTTGCCCTGTTTTCTGTGGTTGTCATTAGACACCTAAATTATCTCAGTTATCAGGCAGAAGCAGTTTTAAGGAGCAGTAAGTCTGTATGATGATCTTTGTGAATTACAGCAAAGTGATCATTGCAGCTCCCATCAGCGGAGGGGTCAACAGAAGCCTCTGAGTCTGATGCCATTTTAAAAGGTGCTCATGACTCAATAGAACCCCTACATGGTTCTAATCCTTTCCTACTATATCTAAAACTGAAAAAAAAAAAACAGTTTGACTAAATATATACTTCAAACTGTCCACTGGTATGAAAAAAAGCTAAAGTTACCCTTCAAATATATAATTTACCTATACAAATGTACAGTTGTAGCTGTACTCTGATTATTGTTAGTAATAATCAAAGAAGTAAAAAAAAAAAATAAAGATTTTTCCATTCTTCTTATAACTGCTGATGTTGTCTAACTTCATATGGAATAATTTTTTTATAATGTGCATATTTTGGGGAAACTTGTTTTTCTTGTCTGTTTTGTTTCTATATTTTTCACTTTCCATTCAGGGTCCTGGAGATTTTGTTGGATGTGCTCTATTTCCATATTTTATGCCCCTGGTTATAGGAATTTGTAAATTCAGTTATCAGAAAATCTCAGAGGTGGCCTACATTCCAGTTTAAAATTCAAAAAAAACATTTTTGTGTTTTAGTAGTGAGAGAGGATTTATTTGAGTCAACATTTATTTGATGCAAGCAAATTATACACAGCTCTAATTCCTTGATTAGCCTTTTGAAAAGGAAATAAAAATTTGTCCATATTTTAACCAATAATAAAGAAATCTAAAACAAAAAAAAAAAAGACTATACTCTCATCTATAGTGCTTTTTGTAAATATATATATTAATATGATTTTATATTCTCCACATAAATTGAAATCTTGATCATTCTTGGTTTTCTGCCCCTTCAGTAGACCCAGCTAATTGATAAAATGCTGCAGTTAAATACATTAAGAAATGGTTTATTGCTCTTTCCTTATAGTAGCAATTTTTGTTATAATGTACATTTAACAGTTTTAAACATTGCATGTAAACATGCAATGTACATGTAAACCCGAAATGGTGCTTTAGCAGACCCTTCGTTTACTAAAGCACCATGTCTCGTGAACAATTGTCAGTTATTTAAAATCACTTGTTTTTATCCTTTCTCATCCTTGTTGCATCCAAGCACTGCTGATCTCCCACAGCCTCTTTACCACCAGTTCCTGCCTACTTGCTTTTCAGCCACTGCTTTATCTCATTTTTAGGGCAAGTTTCCTAATACAACCGTGGAAAATGACTGTGTATTGTGTATTAGCATGCCCATGTAGCCTCCATTGGGAGAGCCTCTGACAGGGTGAAAGTGCAGCAAAAAGTGGGAGGAAGGGAAACTGCATAGTCAACTTATGAAAGAGAGCCTGCACAAAGAAATTTGTGGCAGGATCACCAGGCATTTTAACAAAAGCTGTAGCTTAAAAATTCTTTTTGAAATGCTTTGAAAGATTAGGTCTTTAAGCACTGAAGTTCTGAAACTTTTTTCTTGAATTAAGTATATGTGACATAATATTGCATCTTGAAGATTAGTTCTGTTCAGTTTAGCCCACAGGTTAGTTCTCCATTCTTGTCTTAAAGTGTTGGTTATTGCATCAGGTTTGTTTTGGGATATTCTGAATTAGTTTGCTAAATGTAGTTTATTGCCCCTAGACTCCCCTAGCAGCTTACTGATCGGTCAACTCAATGCAGCTGTGTCATCTTGTATAGCAGAACAGAATGCTTTGTAATCAGGCTGTAAATTTCTCATGGCAAATATCAAATTTCCCTTCCTATAGTTATGTATTACCTGACACAAGCAAGAAGAGTTACCAGAAGACTCGGGTCATCAAGAAGGATTCAAACCCAGTGTTCAATCACACACTATTGTCTATGATGGCTTCCACACTGAAGACCTTAAAGATGCTTGCGTTGAGCTGACCGTTTGGGATCATGAGAAGCTCAGCAATCATTTCCTTGGGGGAATCCGGCTTGGCCTTGGGACAGGTAGCATATCTCAAATACATTTTGTCTAAATTCAGTGTTTTGATTTTCTGGAAACCTTATCACAATTGCTTGTATAATAATAATTCACATGTAATGACAGATAATGGATTTCTAGTATTTGTTGAATTAGAAATGAACTTGGATATCCTGAACTCTAGGTAGAGCAAGACACTAATTATTGAAGCTGTTGTCTCCATGCTTCTTCCCTGAACTTTTGGTCTTCACAGGAAAGAGGTAACAGTGGACAGTGCAGTCTCCAGTCACCTTGGAGAGGGAAGGAGCAGGGATTCCCTTGCCATCCTAGGCTACGGATCTGTATGTTTCTATTGAAACACACAGTGTAGGAAGACAGAACTCTAGACCCTGCATGGAAGAGTGGCTTCACGGAATGCTGCAAGAGAAAAGAATTACCTTGAAACAGGAAACCTAGGTCAGCAGTCATGGCACCAGTCTAAATATGGGCAAGAATTACAGATTAAAAAAGCCACATACTCAATAAGTGATCAAATCAGCTGCTGAAAACTCATATGAAAACTGAGAGTTTAATATCACTTTAATGATTCTGAGGATTATTTCTTCAAAGTGCATGACGCTACAGTTGTCAGGGCTTATTTCAAAGCTCCTGCACTACTTGTTAAGAACAAATACATATTTGAATGTCTATATTGCTACAAAGCCCAAAATTTTTTTTGTTTTGGACAGAGTAGGGAAAAGTTGGGTTTTTGGTTTGACTGCATATTCTGTTCCAATTTTCTTTTGTATTTCTTAGGTACACAGGTGTGTTTCACTGCTGTGCACAAACCTATAGTATGAGGAGCTACCAGTAGCATAGTTGTTCTTAGATTTTATCACTTATGGTGCTAGAGCTTAACCCAGAGTCACCCGTAAGTTTATTGGTAACAGAATTTTCTGTCCCATTCACTCACATATGACTAATACTTTCTTGTCTTTTGGGTCTCCAGGTTATAGTTATGGTATTGCTGTGGACTGGATGGACTCTACACAAGAAGAAGTGGCCTTCTGGCAAGAAATGAGCTAACACCAAATGAATGGATTGAGGGATCACTTCCCTTGAGATCATTAGCGGGAAGAAGGAAATTCAAATAAATTGCTGACTACAGTTACTATGTATAATCAAATATGTACTTTAGGAACTCAATGAAGATCAGAAAACTTACTGGACCAATTTTTTGTGTTTGTTTGCCTGGTAGAACTTTGTTTTCTCCACTGCTGGACAGTTTGTCTTGTGGAAAAACTGTTTTAATGCCAAAGCACTTTATTTTGGATTTACTTCAAAGCTGTTCCTGAAGCTCACCCTGAGGGTAAGAAAATTGGCAGCAGCATTTATTTTTCTAAAAGCCTTTCTCAAGGAGACAAAATAGCATGAAGATTTTGCTTCAATGTTCATAAGAAGTGTTGAAGGTCTAAATAGAAGAACTTTGTACATATTTAAGTATGAAAAACTGAATACCTGAAAATTTACTATAGACAACAAAATATGGAAGACTTGATTTGGATATGTGGTCATGAATGGTGTATTAATACAAGCAATGTCAGCCAATGAAGTCATGGTACTGTCCCTGTGGGTGAAGGCTAGCATTGCTTTGGACTCTATACTAAAATGTAGGGCAAGAGCCCATCCTTCAATCATACATGTAAAATTAAATGTATTATAATTACTCAAAATTTATCAGCCACTGCCATAGACTTACAAAAAAAGAAAAATACAAGCTCTTGGGGACAAAGTAAGAAAAGGTACATGTTTTTTTCAGTCTTTGCATTTGAAATTATATATATTGGTCATGAAATCAAATCTCCGGTTGCACAGGGCTTCAGTGTTACAACCTTGCACTGTTCTGAAAAAAGTAAATTATATTTTCTTTTTTAAATTTACCTAAATTGTGTTTTATATTACTTATTAAGTGTAACAGGATTTTGCATTCATTAGATGGGTTGGGTTGCTGATGTAAATTATGATTTTGATAACCAGTTCTGTAATTACTAAAGTAGCATTTGCTGGTATTGAAGTATTTTATTGTGTCTTACTGTGGCCTACATTTACCCTATAGAATTTAAATACTATGATCTGGGTATTTACCATGATAAATTCAGTACAGAAGCAAGCCAAATGTGAAGTTCAGCTTTAAAGGGAAATGCGGACCAAACTCTTTACTAAATCTAAAGTTTTTATTTTTAAATACCTGTAACATGTTCAGCACATACCTGTTTATAATAACATCATTGGAAATATGTGCAGGTTTTAAAATCTACAATGCTCTTATATTATTATTATACAGGATTTATATAGTGCCAATAGTTTTTTCAGTGCTTTACAGTATAAAGGGAGACAATACAGCAACAATACAGTTCAATACCAGAGGGATAGGAGGGCCCTGGTCCTTGGAGCTTACATATATGGTCAAAAATCAAATATGTTTAATTTTTAGATGTCAAGGGGGCTAGGCTTTATCTGATACCATCCATAAATGTACACATTAGCCCCCCCCCCCCCAAGCTGTGATAAGTAGTAGAGGTGTATAAAAGAGTGGATTGACTGCATTAGATATCCTTTGATAGATAAAATATTATGTAAGTGAAAGTGGAATAGTTCAACAACCCTGGTCAAAATATGTATGTCATTTCAAGGTTTCGTGTTTTTAATGGTATTTAAAACAACCTCTACATTGAAGCCATCTTTGATTTTCTAACAAAATAATTGAAATGTTGCTTCCTTAGGCTATCAGTGACCCTGGGCATATTCTGTAGAATGTTCAGCCCAAGAAATCTCCATTCTGTTTGTATGTGTAGCAGGACCCCTGCTGGAGCTACTTGGTAGATTGGGTTCTATGCTCTTTTGCCTTGACTCTGAGAACACCCTCAGCCCCACTGACACACAAGGTTGAGCAAGTGAATACTGCACCGCTACTGTGAGCACAATTATAGATATCCTGCACACAAAACAAAAGGTTCAGTATCAAAAAGCAAACATCAGCCTGGTTAGTGGTACATGAACCCAATATATTGTCATGGGTAGCAGTATTATTATACAGTGTTTATATGGCGCAAAAAAGTTTGCTCAGCGCTGTACAATATAGTGGGGGACAGTACATGAGACAATACAGTAACAAGACAATACACAAGGGGTTCGAGGGCCCTGCTCTTTCGAGCTTACAATCTAGGAGGGAGGGAGTAGAGGTACAGGAGGAAGTGGCTGTGGGGGATGGAGTGGTAGGAGGAGATCGGCTGTTAAGTGAGGGTGGGGTAGGCTTCCCTGAAGAGATGGGTTTTCAGGGTGCGCCTAAAGGTGAGGAGGGTAGGTGACAGTCTGATGGATTGGGGTAGTGAGTTCCAGAGGATGGGGGAAGTCCTGGAGAAGTCCTGCAGTGGGGCGTGGGAGGAGGAGACCAGGGAGCTAGAAAGTAGGAGGTCTTGTGAGGAGCAAAGAGTACGGGTTGGGTGGTATTTGGGTATCAGGTCAGTAAGGTAGTTTGGGGCAGTGTTATGAATGGCTTTGTACGTCAATGTTAGTAGGTTGAATTTAATGCGTTGGGCAATCGGAAGCCAGTGGAGGGAATGACAGAGGGGGGTGGCAGATGCAGAGCGGTTGGTAAGGTGAATGAGTCTGGCCGCTGAGTTCAGGATAGACTGAAGCGGGGATAGTATGGGACGAGGTAGGCAAGTGAGGAGGGAGTTGCAGTAGTTGAGTCGTGAGATAATAAGGTAGTGAATGAGTTGTTTAGTAGTGTCTGGGGTTAGGAACGTACGTATTTTGGAGATGTTGCGTGGGTGGAGCCTGCATGAGTTTGCCAGCGATTGGACATGGGGTTAGAAGGACAGATTTGAGTCTAGAGTGACACCTAGGACTTTGGCTTGCAAGGTGGGACTGATGGTGGCCTTGTTGGTTGTGATGGAGATGGGGGAGGGGGATGCGGGCTAGGGGGGAAATTAGGAGCTCGATTTTGGAAAGGTTTAATTTGAGGAAGTGGAGTGACATCCAGTGTGATATGTCGTTCAGTAGGCAGGTGATTGTGGCGGAGACCGAAGGGGTGAGGTGAGGGGTAGAGAGGTAGATTTGCGTGTCATCAGCGTAGAGGTGATCGTTGAAGCTGTGGGAGTGTATCAGTTGGCCAAGGGAGGAGGTGTAGATAGAGAAGAGAACAGCAGTATGCACAGGAGCAAAAAAAAAAAAAAAAAAAAAAAAAGTAGTTCAATCACAGTTCACGAGATAATGTTTACTAGGATATAGCAGCAGAGAATGGCATTCTATGCAGTTACATTGGAGTAACCCACAAAATCAGCAATGAGTAATTGAATTAGAAAACCATAACTGCAATGATAATCAATACTGCGATTACTCCTCTGTAAACAGTAGGCTATATTCACTTTAGAGTACACGCTTTACTTTTACTATGGATAATAGGCAAAGTTCTTGTGAAGCAGCTGAGTGAACAGTCATTAACCCTAGACGCCAACATTGAACCTGCTAGCATTGGGTCCCAGTCTTTATGGTGGTGCACAGGTACAGTCCCAGTAAAGCCTGCATGCAGTAAATAATGCTGCTAGTTTGATGGCCAGTCCCATTGTGCTCAGTCTCTCTACTAGTGGCAACAGGTTAATGGCAGCAGTGTCCTCATCAGTCACAGTGACACAGCAACAGGATCCCCAGTGTTCAGATGTTAGCTCACTTCTGGATCTGCCTAGAATGACTCCGATCCTCACCACACGGCTGCAGGCTTGTGGCAGCTTGATGTGTACAGAGGAGCAGCGATATGCAAACCTCAATCTCCTGAGTCTTGGCAGCAAAGAAAATGTTCCTCAGTATTCAGCCTGAGAAAATACAGCTATCTCTCCCTTTATAGCTGGCTCGCATTGGGAATTGTAGCTCAATGGTCCATAGACTGCCATAGTAAAGTCTCTTTCCTGATTGTCACCTTCCTTCATTCAATGCTGTCAACCATCAAACCTCTTGAGCTCTCCCTGGTGATTGGAGGTGAGGTAGTGTTAACCCATTCAGCTGATGTCCATTGGGAGCATAGAGAGCACTGAAGCAGCGTGTCCTAAATCGCTCTTTTTTTTTCCAATTATTTATCACTCTGTGTCTCTAGACAAGCACCTGGCTACATATGATTGGCTCATTTCTTTTTCCAGAAGTCTGCATACAAGTTGGGGAAACATTTCTGGCATCCCCAGAGCTGTCCTTGGTTTCTGAAAGTGAATTTTCTCCTTTGACACAACAGGCAATGTGACAATGACATTCTATGCAATGTTGTCGTATCCAGAGAACAGATGCAAGCAACAATCTACAAAGAAGCTTGCATCCTTAGAATGCTTATATTTGACTGGGTGTTTTTAGAGAAGAGAAAAAAAACAAAATTGTCGTGTTTTTTTTCTTTTATCTGCATAGAAATCTCCATTAACACATATCCTAACTATACCACATGACAACCTTATTTCAGCCGTTGCAATACCTTGGTGTGCTGTATAGTGCATATCAATCGTTGTGAAATACAGTGGTAGTACATCATGGCAACACAACATCCATTATACTGACTCAATGTACCCTCACTACATTGTGGACCTTCAGGGGTCAAATTGCGATCCCGCCCATGATGCATGGGGTCCTTGTGGCTTCCCTGTCACTAAGGGTGGCACAAGGGGGGTGTTATAGTACCCCCAAAAATATTGCTAGCACTTCTGTCTCTGCGATCAAGACTGCCCATAGGACGTTACAGGCTGTCTCTGGCTTTCTCCCCTGGGTGAGTTGCTGTGAACCTTTCTATGCCTGACATTTAGCCTCCGGTGACTGACAACTGTATGGTCTCTCTCCCAGCCGGCAGCTTCTCCATGGATGACTGAGATGGTGGGTGGTACAGGGGCGTGGCCAGCTTCTCTTACATGCACCCCCAAAAATATTGCTAGCACCCAGTGGCAGAAATACCAGGGTCACAAAGGTTGCACTTGTGACACAGCCCTGGCGTTCCAACACTGTGGTGGTCCCCAAGATGGCAGGAAGGGGACCTGCTGCAGAACACGTGAAAAGGTCTTGTTGCATAACTGTAATAAAGGGCCCTGTGATGGGAGTAAAGGGGCTTGGGATCTGTGGGAAG